GACGCTGGCGGCTGTGCTGTGTAGTGTCGCCCCCCATGTCCCGTCCTGTAGCTGCTCCATTAGACGGTGATAGACGCTGACGAGAGGGGACGTCCTCCCGCCAACCGCAGCCACCATGCACCCTTCAGACGTGTGTACCGATGATAGGCCCGAAAGTGTGTATGCTACAATAAAGTTCTGGTTCTAACTCCAGCCCAACCCGGCTTTTGTCCTTTGTTTTGTTTTTCATTCTCGCATTCCCTTCTTTTTGAGCCAAGGACATAAGAACATAAAAAGGCTTTTATTTCCTTCCACTGCTTTGCCCTCCCATTTCAAGGTTTCAGAGCGCTGGTCTCAGCCTGCCTCAGTGATTCCGAACTTGCCTTCCCCGTACACAAACACGTAACGATGTAAAAAAATAGAAAAGGAATCTCTTGCCAGGCACAGACTGTGCACCCAAACCACAAACCTCCGTGGCTGTGCACGGTGTGCAGGGAGCACACAGACAAGTGTAAATAAATAACACACGGACACGCGGCTTTTCCTATTTCAGAACAGGCGAGGTGGTCTGATGAATCTCAGCACTTAGCTGGGAACAAGTGTGGCCGCCGGCCACCGCCGGCCCATGCACTGCTTGCGGGTGGATCCCTGACAACTGGGACTTGGCACCTGGGCTGCTGAGGGGCAGCTCCTTCTGGTTCTGGTGATCTTGGAAGAGTTTTGAGAGGTCAGCAGTGTCTCCTGGTGTAGCCTGAGTCAGCTGCCGGTACATAAGGGTCACCCATGTGCTTCTGTCGGGTCACTGGAAAAGTCATGGTGCATTTTTTGCATAGAAAAACATGTCATGTCTTTTCCGACAACCCAACAGAAGCCCAGATTCCTAGCAGCTCTAGAATGGGCTTTGGAAGGTTGGGATAGACCCAGAAACCTGCATTTCTAAAGCTGCTCAGATCCAGGCCTTTGAGAGCCCTAAGGCCTGGTCTGGACCATGTCACACTAGAAACTACTAGAGAGAAAGACTCCCCCACAGCCCCTAGTGCTCACGTGTCTGCTCCCTGGTTGCTCCCAGGTTCTGCAGGGTGATTATCTGGGGATCTGGCCCTAGCCCTTATTTAAAGCCTGCTTTGGGAGGCAGGCAGCAGGTAACCGCACGGACTCTGGCCTGCCTTCGCAGTGGCATGTGACCAGGGTGAGCCAAGTCAGACTCGCGTCGGGAAGACCAGCCCGCATTATACTGTACGGTGTGTGGACCCGGCCTCCCTGCCTCTAGGTTCAGTACGTGGCTGGCTATGATTTTCTTACCCGCAAAGTCACTTTATAGCAGAGAGGTGAGGAAATTCTCGTACCCAAGTCACTAGGAAGTGAGGAGCAGGCACCCCTGAATGTTGGGGCACCCAGGCTTCCTCGGGGAGCTGCCCAGGACGTAGTCAGTAGAGGCTGTGCAGGTGGGCCACACGAGGTGGCAGGGCTGAGCTGGAGATGAGGCATGCTGTCTGGACAGTCAGCACCAGGGGCCTGCCGGGGGCCAAGTCCCAGACACTCTGGCTGGATCCAGGGAAGACGCTCCCCAGGACAGCAGTCTTTGCAGGCTCCAGAACAACCAGCTGGAAGACTCAGGTGACAGTCCTCAGCTGAGAGCAAGGTGCAGCCTCGAGGGGCCCGGCTGTCTCGCCAGAGCCCGAGGCAGGTTGCGGACACCGGCATGCCGCCTCTCCCCGCACAGAGGGTGCGTTTCCGTCTATGGCTGTTTAGTTCCTTAAACATTTCAAGTCATAAATAAATAACCAGTGTAAACAAAAGGCAATTGTGTGGGTTCTTTCCCATGAGGTGCAGTTCAGGTTTTGAGGGCTCTTTGGGGATGGCCGACGGTACCCCATCTCAGGCCCAGGGCTGACGGGCCGCTATTGCCTGTTATCTTTGGACACGTTGTGGGCCAGCCAGTTCACTTTGGTTTTCCAGCTCTCCCGGAGGGCTTCGTTGAACTTCACTCGGAAGTGCTTCAGAGCCTCCTCCTCCGTCTTTCCCAGTGCCAGAGAGTCCTGAGACAGTAATCACAGCAGGGTTAATGCTGGGCCTCGGCCCTGCGGGTAAGTGCCTGCTGCCTCTATGCTTCTGCCTCTGGAAACCTATTTATTTGCTTGTGATTTTCAGGCCACTGGGTCCAGGACCTGAACTGAGGTCAGCCATGTGGGAATCCAGTGTCTTAACTACCATGCCCCCTGCTGCCCCTGCCTCTGGATATTTAAAATGCTGCTGAGAAGAAATGCATGAAGGGGGACCAGCAGGTTAAGGTGTTAGCCTCGCATGGGGCTGATGGGGTTTAAGTCTCAGACTGGGCATGTGTGTGCACATCGAAACCCTGAGAGGACGATGGAGAAGGGATTGTGGTGTGGCCATAGGGGACCGATTTTTCACTTTCTCTCTCTCCGTCTCTCTTGCTCTCTGGCAAGCACATGTACCCTCTGGCACACACACTCACAAAATGCATGAAGGGAGTTAGGAGATAGGCACTCCACACCTCCCTGGGAAGGTTTTTTATTCCGAGACATCCTACAGAGGCCAGCAGAAGGCCTTCTGACCCCTCCTCAAGGCAAGACACCAAGGCTACTTGGCCCAGGCCTCAGAGACAGGATGGAGCTGCTCCACTTGGCAGGAATTGGGCAGTGGAGGCTCCCTGGCAGGTGTCTATGGCCCCCGACCCTCCCTGCTCCACTCCAGCTTCTCATAAACTGAAGACACAGGAAGGAAAAGCATCTCTTGAAACCTAGAGGGACCATACCTCATCCAGCCTACTCGGTGCACCTGTGGAAACACCTGCAACCCGAGGACAGGTGACTAAAGGTCACAGCACACGTGCAACCAAGCGGGGCCAAGCTCAAGTGGCTCATTGCTGCTTGGGCCGCTTCCACCAGAACCGTACTGGCTCCGGGTTCAGGTTGGGAAAGACCTGGGGAAGCCCTTGGTGACTCCTGGCCTCCTGCCTGGTGGGGTCCTGCCTGGTGCGGCCCTGCCCTCGCATGTACCTTGAGATACTGGATGTCTTTGGAGCAGCTGAGCTCAGGCAGGCCTGCCGCCCGCATCAGGGCAAAGAGGTGGAGGAAGAGCAGCCCGTGGCGCCGCAGGATGGTGTAGGCTCTCTCACAGTAGCCCCGGAACCTGCGGGGGAGACAGTACAGCTGAGCCGACGCTGGCCTGCCCCTCCCCCAGAGGACAGCTCCCCCACAGCGCCTGCCCTGGCCCTGGACATGGAGTAGTGAAGCCTCAGCCCCCTCTCACTCTCCTGCTACGTGCCCCGCATGCCGTCTCCCCACAATGCCCACAAAGGACGCTCCTGAGAAGCAGGACGTGTCTCAGATCCATCAATCCGGGGTGGGGAGCCAGGCCTGAGCTGAGAGCCGAGTCCCTGCTGTCCCTGCACACTGCCTGGAACCTCTGCCCTGTCACCTGGGGCCCCAGGCACCGAGGGGGATCTCTTGGGTCTGAGGTCCCCTCACCTTTCAAATTTCTCACTATTATTCGTCTTTCCCTGCTGAATCACATGGACAAAGTCATAGGTGAGGATGAAGGGCACTCGCTCACGGTTGATTCCAAACTTGGTCTTGAAATTCCCCAGGAAGTGGCCAAAATCAATGTGGAACAGCTAAGGGGAGGGAAGGAAAAAGACCGAGAAGGTGTTTGAAGGAAAGCAGTGTGGGTCTGAGCCTCCACGTCGGGCAGAGGCAAGCAGGCTTCGGGGGCAAGCTACCCTGCAGCCATGTGCCTGGCAGGAAGGCCACCAGGGCCAGAAGGCAGGCCCGGGTGGCAGCCACCAGCACGGCCCCTACCTGCCCGCTCTCGCGGATCATGATGTTGTCGCTGTGCCGGTCGCCGATGCCCAGCACGTACGTGGCCACACAGTAGCCAGCACAGGAAAGGGTGAACTCCTCAATGGCTCGGTCCAGGGTGTCGCTGGGTGGGGAAGATGAAAACTCATGGCCATGTTTTGCAGCTTTCTCCACCATGGAGTGGAGTGCATTTCCCCTCCCTTTGAATCTGACCCTGTGACACTCTGAGCACTAGAGAAGACAGGAAGCAATGCTGGGTTTTATTTCCAGGCATCATTCCAGACTCCAGAGTTTGAGACGTCCTGCACATCCTTAATTTCCCACTTCTCCAACACCATGGAGGGAAGCGGAGGCTGAACTACCCTCCCACAGAGAGACTTGGCTGGTAGCTGATGCACAGGGGCCATCTTAGACTCGCCGGGCCCCAAGTGCCAGAGGAGAGCAATCGCATGAGTGAGTCCAAGCCAGACCAGCAGAAGAGCAGCTCAGCTGAGCCCAGCTCAAGTGCAGACTCATGAGGCAATAATACATGCTTATAGTGGGCAGCAGGTGGCCTGGTGAGTAAGGCGCTGGACTCCCACATGGTTGGCCACAGTTTGAGTCCTGGACCCAGCAGCCTGAACATCATGCCAGGCACGTGTTCATGCATGCCCAAAATCCCAGGAGGAGAATGGAGGAGAATGGAGAAGGGATTGCAGCATTAGAATCCCCCCTGGGGGGATATCCTCTCACTGTCTCTCTGTCTCTCTTCAGCAAGCACACCCGATAGCAAAATCCTTAAAAATGAATGAAAGCTTGTAGTTTTAAGGCCCTAAACTTTGGGTGGTGTTACACAGAAATAGGTGGGGAACAGAGACCCGCCTCACCTCAACTCAGATACGGTAGTCCTTGACTAAGAGACCGTCATCAACCTTTCCCCTCACCTTTGACTCTACAGGTCAGCCCCTTCCACACTGGGTAGGAGAGAGCATCCCTGGGCCTGAAACCTACCCAGGGTTCTTGGACTTGAGCCAGTTGAGCAGGGCATCCTTGTTGAAGGCGGCTGTGGCCGCCATGTTGCTCTTGTTCAGCTGGATGTTGGCGATGGTGTCTGAGTGAAGCACCACTTCAATGAGGCCCGTGCGGTCTCCAGTGGGGAGGCAGCCATAGGGGGTCATCCTAGGCATGTGGGAGGAGAGACAGGCAAATGCCATGATCAAGGGGTGTCCCTGGGGCAGCTTGACTTCAGGGAGCTGTATGTACCCAAAGATGTCACAGGAGACGCTGCCGCTCAAGGTGCTGAAAAGGACGGCTAAAGATGCCAGGGTGGAGGGATGGCGTGCTTCCTCACTTTCTCCTCTCTCTCCTCTTTGTACCTCCACTGAGCTCATGCACCTCGTAACAAAAATAAAAAAGATGCTGGGGCTCAGACATCAGCACCAGCGCCCAGATTCGGGGAGCACCTTGGCTGGGCCCATGTTTGCTGGGAAGAGGGCAAAACAAGGTGCCCGGACGAATGCCAGGATGGGGCGGGAAGCCAGGGACCTTGGGCACAGGAAACGACGGAGCGGGACAGACGCTCAGCACCGCGAGAGGCCACGCTCATCCTGTCTCCCGATTGCCTCCCCTGCCGTGGTTTTAAACTGCTCCCTGCTCTTAGGACAGCCCTTCCCCAGCTGGGGTGGGAGCAGCTCTGACAGGGGACCCCTCCCAAAGGGACAAGCTCCCAGCCGGGTGCAGACACACGGGGCCTCCCTCACCTGAGGTCCAGGCCCTCCTGCTTCCACAGGATGTCCATGAGCTGGATCATCTGCAGAGTCAGCATGTCCTGGCGCAGGTCTGGACCACCACGGGCCGCAAGGAAAAGCAGGAGTTTCTGGTGGGTTCTCCTCTCCCAGTCAAGCCCGGGCTCCTAAGTCCTGAGACCCTGTCCTCCCTGCTCGCCCTCCAGGACCTCTTCGGGAACCCCAGGCAGTGCGTGTGGCATGGGGAGCCAAGGCCTCCTCCACAGGGTCCGCCCCAGGCTGGCCTGGCTCACCATCCCCGTTCTTGAAGATGATGCCCACGCTGCCATCACTGCCCGCCTCCTCGTTGCTGTACATGATCCACAGCGGCTTCATCTTGGAGTCCATGAAGGTGCACTGCTCCACACTGTGGGCCAGGGTGGCTGGTCAGTCAGCAGGGGCTCCCACAGGCCTCCCGAGGAGTGGGAGGGGCCCTAGCGGGGTGCAGGTTTGGGGCTCACCAGACTTCAGCCAGCAGGGTGCTGGGGTCGAGGGGGGACTGCAGGTGGGAGAGGGCCTCCAGGTAGGTCTCCTGGCGCATGCATAGGTGCATCAGCTCCTTGGTCTGGGGCTTGGTGGTCTTCTGGGAGCTGACCTTGACGAAGTCGTTCAGGGCCTTCAGTTTGCTCAGTGCTTCCCCCTAGTGGGAGAGCAGGAGGCCAGCAGTAGGCAGGCCAGGAAGGGGCAGGCATGAGCCTCCATCCAGCCAGGTGACTCTGAAGGGGCCAGGGCTTGACCCAACCTGGCAGAGGACCCCAGCCTGGGGTAGGGGTACAGGGACCCTGATTCTCACCTGCTTCATCAGCACTTTCATGTGGTGGGTGCTGCCCCTGCAATAGGCCTCCATGATGAGGCCAAAGCGCAGGGCCACTGACGGGACGTGCATCTCAGAGCTAGAGGGAGGAAAAGGAGCTAAGCCTCACCGGGCAGGGCCACTCTGCCACTCCCCAGCCCAGGAGGCACAAGCACCCAGGCCTGCTGAAACAAGAGGCCAGCAGGCACAGTCTTCCCCATGGCCTTCCGGAGAGACGCAGGGCCGGGATTCCCGGGGAATGGCGGGGTGAGTCCAGCTACCGGAGGTGCCAGAAGAGGAAGTGGCCGATCTTGCGGTTGGCCAGGGCCCGGTCCAGCAAGAATTTGGTCAGCTCGCAGTCCAAGTAGGACTCGTACTTGAGAACCTGCACCAGCTGCAGCAGGTACTGGAAAAGCTCGTCGTCCCTGTGGGAAGGAAGGCCGGCTGGGGCCTGGAGCCTCACGACTGAGGATGCAGGGTTGGGGTCAGCAGCTAGCGGGGGCAGGGCTGGAGGGGGAGCCCAGCCTACACCGGGCTGGCCACACAGAGGCTCAGACCCCAGCCAGTCTTCTTTCTGGGTGGTCAGAGCAAAGCTGCCCTCCTGGGGAGGAACCATCATCCCCAGCGCCCAGCCCCAGCCAGGACTCACGTCAGTTTCCGCAGGGACTTGATGGCGAAGGAGCCCACGTGGCAGTCGGGGAAGCTGAAGTCCAGCAGCTCCAGGGCGCTCAGGACGGGCAGCTCGGGCCAGGAGCACAACAGGTAGAGCATCTGGGGTACCCGGGGTCAGGGTGATGGGTGGGCCGAGGCTGCCAGCCCGACTGCAGCTCTGCCCTGGGTGCCCCGCCCCACCCACCTGGGCCACATCCTCATGCTTGTTCCACTTAGTGACCAGCAGCAGTCGGGCCAGCGCCTCCGGGAAGTGCTCCTGGACTTCATGCCGCATCTTCCACACCAGGTCCTTCTCGTGCTCATATAGCTCCCCAGACCCCCGCCGCTCCAGGATTTCCCTCAGCTGCAGTTGCTGAGGAGCCACACAGGGGTGAGGGCTTGCTCCCCACCCAGGTGCACACCCAGCCTCATACCTGCTGCCTGTGGCCCCCGCTCACCTCCTCCTCAGTGAAGCGCCCGCGCTCTCCGGGCCGCCCCAGCTCTAGGATCTGCAACAAGAGGCCCAGCTCTCAGTGCTCCAGGCCAGGGCCAGCCCTGGAGGGTCCTGGGGCAGGGGGTCTCCATGTTTCCTGGGTGCCTGTCCTGTGCACCACAGGGCAGCTAGCAGCATCTCTGGTCTCTACCCACGAGAAGCCCAGAGCATCCCTCCACTAGCGGAGACAACCCACACGTCCCTGGCAGGCAAAATGGGGCAGCGGACGGTGCCCAGTGTGGCTGGGGCCGCTGTGTGAAGAGCTCAGAGGCAGGGCCAGGAAAGTTCCTCGTCGGCCCTCGGCCTTAGGCAGGGCAGGCCTGGCCCTCGGGGCTGTAGCGGGGGGCTCACTGACCTTCTCCAGGGCAGGGTAGTACACGGGGTGGGGGGCCACCTCGGGCAGGCAGATGACCAGGGCGGCAGCACTCTCCGTGTTGGGGTTACTGCGCACAGTACCCGTGGGGTTCAGTAGCTCCCCTTTCTCATCTGGACACAGGGACGGAGGGAGTTGTATGGGAACGGCCATCTCTGGGGCCCTCACACGCCCGAGGCCTCTCCCTGCTGGACCCGGGGCCGACCTGGGACGGACGGCCACATGTAGAGGCAGCGCTCCCCGGTCTTGAGCTGGTCCTTGTAGTCAAACAGCATGAGGTTGGCCCAGGCGATGGGGCAGTCCTGGGACAGGACACAGGAGGGCAGGTCAGCCACTTCTGGGCCTCCACTCGATCATCTGTAGAATGGGTCCAGCTTCCAGCCGGCCTCCCTGCCCTTACCCAGACCTCCCGGGGGAGAGAGAAGCCTCGGGTTCCAGCTAAGGTCTCCCAAATAGAAGACCTTGCTTGGGAAGGGGGAGGACCCACTGCTTCCTCTTTCCTGGTGGGATCCCAGTGACAAAGCCAGCAAGGTCGGCCACCTTATTGTCCCCTCTGCTCCTGCCTATATCCCCCCCCCGGCTTCTTAAGAAACCCCTAAACCTCCCAGAAAGCTGGCCCAGTTCAGCTCTGTGTGAGTCAGCATGACCGAGGGGCCTGTGACTCAGCGCCCAGCTACTATGCACCCCAACCCCAGTCAGTCGCTGACCCAGGCCTTTCTGCTCCCACCGCGACAGTGTCTGTCCTGACACCCCAGGGGGATGCCTCCAGGTTCCTGCAGGACCACAGGCCCGGGCCAGAGATTCCAAGTCAGTCTGCTCAGGAGCCAGGCCCCTAGAGCGGCACTCAGGCAGGGCCAGTGCCCAGACGGAGACGGGCAGCACAGGCCCACCTGGGAGCCTCCTGGGTGCGGGGTGCTGAGTGGCCCTAGCCCCAGCCCCAGGAACTGCCTGGGCCCAGCAAGTGGCTGCACTGGCTCTCTGAGGCCAGGCTCCCTCAGGGCCGGCCCTACCCACCGCCTTCTTGGACTTCTTTTTGGTGGCACGAGCCTTCCTGGTCTTCTCGATGACGGCATAGAGGGCGAAGCAGAGCCGGGCCATGCGAGGCAGGTCACAGATGTTGATGTCGAACTCCAGCCGCTGCTTCCACACGGGCTCCGAGCACACGCTGACCTCGCAACTGGACACCGTCTTGCACAGCATCTCGTTGCCATGGAACAGCCCAGCCTGCACCACCAGCTGGGGGAGCGTGCCAGTGGGTGAGGGCGGCAGAGACCCAGCCCCTCTCCTCCCAGGCTCCTTCCACCCCACTGAGGGCTTCAATGGCATGCTTAACTATCTTCCTTGAGCCAGCCTATGGCCTAGTGGTTAAGGGATCCAGATCCCACAAGGTCAACTCGCAATTTGAGTCCCAGACCCGGTGGCTTGAAAAACCAGGATTTTGTGTGTGTGCGTGTGCGCACACACAGGAGGGAGAGATGGAGGAGAAGGCATTGTGGTGTGACCACTCCCCATGGGAGGTGTTTTCTCCCTCTCCCTTTCTCTGGCTCCCTCTGGAGAGTGCATGCACCCTCTAGCAAACTAAAAAAAAGGCCTCCTTTTCTCTGAGTCTGAATCCCACTTCCCACATGGAAAAAGGTGTCTGAGAGAGGACAGCTAGTGTCCGGAGTGGGACAAGAGGCCATGGGGTGAGCAAGGACCTCCTGGGCTATGCATGGGCATCCTGGCTCAGCCGCCTTGACTGTGGGACCTCAGGAATTCCAGGGGCCCTTCTGGCTGTAATATCCTAGGGCTCCCTTTACTTCCCAGAGTCTTAAGAGCCCCACGTTGGTGGGAAGGGTTTTCCCTGCGCCGCCTGAACAGCCTGTACCCTGCCTTCTCCAACGCCACGCTGACAGCTCACTCAGGAGCCCTCTGATACAGCCTTCCACGGCTCCTGCCAGGGAACCCAGACCTGCCCTTCTTATACAACTGCCCCAATAAAATGTGCTTCAAGGGGCTGGCAAGTGGCATGGTGAAGGAGCTCCCACATGACTATGGTTCAAGTCCTGGACCCAGTAGCTTGCTTTCTCACTTTCCCTCTCTCTCTGGACAAACTAAAATAATAATAATGATAATGGCGGGAGAAAAAAGGCCTACCCCATATAGCTACCATAGGGAGCCAGATCCCACATGGCTGATTACGGTTTTAGTCCCAGGCCCAGCAGCTTGAAAAACATGATAGGCACAGGTGCATGTGTGTCCCAAATTCCAACAGAATGGAAAAATGGAGGAGAAGGGATTACAGCATGACCACGTGCCGTTAGGGGGTGCTTTCCCCCTTTCTCTCTCTGGAAAGCATGCATGTCATTTGGCAATTTAATAAAATAAAGTACCCCAGGAAAGAGACCCAACTTCTGTGGACCCAGGTATCGCACCCGACAGACGGGATAATGAAACCGACACCTCACGGGCTGCTCTGAGGACTGACAAGATGTGGCAGGTGCGTGCGCCTCGAAGAGACACTTGCGCTCGACCCTGTCCTTGCAGCACAGAGGCGAGCTTGGTCCCCAGGGGCTGAGGCGCCAGCTGCTGCCTTAGGAATGCCAAGGCCCGGTCTCTGTGGGAGCCAGTGCCTTTTCCGTGCCTGGCACTCCTTCCAACTCTGCGGTTCCCATATCCCTGGCCTGAGCCTGGCCCCACAGCCTCCACCAAAGTACCAAAATCGAATACCCAGAACTCCACTAGGCCCAAATTTCTGCGAATCGGCCTCTCTGGCCCGCTGGCCTCTCCCCTCCCCCCTTCCTGTTTTGAAGCAGCTCACAACCACCCCAGGCAGGGAGGCTGGGTAATGTGGTCAGGTGGCTTTCGCGTGAACCCCCCTTCTTCCTCTGCCGCCCCTCCAGGCCACAGCCACCTTGTTTGTGCAAAAAACACCGGCTCCCCACCTGCCCTGGGAGCCCCTACCTTCATCCGCTCGTCTGCGTTCACTTTGCTGCCCTGGATCAGCTCGATGCAGAACGGCTGCTCCAGGGACCACAGGGACACGGAGGACAGCTGGGGTGGGGGAGAGGGCACCCTGAGCTGTGCCTGGGCAACCTGGCAAGTGACCCGAGGCACAGCTCACGGCTGCTGACGAGGCCCACAGCCTCACGGGGTGGGTAGGAGGGTCCCAGGCCTGTGGCCAGGCTCAGGCACCGGTCCTCAACACCATTTACTACCAGGACCTGCCACGTAGGCACCTGGGGACCGGGCACCTTGAGTTCTGCAGGGAAGAGTGGCTGCGAGCAGGCCTGCCCCTGGGCAGTTCGGACAGGCTCTGCCTGGGGACGTCAGTCATGCTGGCTTCCTGAGCTCAAAGCCCCACCTCTCCACATTGAGAGACCAAGGGTCCACAGCCAGCCCGGGGCACTGCCCAGTGAGTTCTGGGGTTGGACAGAGGGTGGAAGGAGGGACGGGTGGGGGGGAAGGCACCTCACCTTCTTTACGGGAACAGGGGGCGGTTTGGTGCGAGGTTTCTGGACTTGGGGGGCAGGGTTGCTCTGCTCGTCCCGCATGGCGAGGATGGAGGAGGAGTGGACCATGGTCAGGTGAGGGGTCTGCCCGCTGTGCAGGCAGCTGCAGATGTACTGAGACAGGGTGCATAGTGAGCCGCTGGCACGGCCGCCCCAGCCGCTCCCTGGACAGCTGGAGCCTGGGGCTTCACGGTTGACCACAGCCTAGCCCAGGGCCAGGAGTGGGGGTCTCCTGCTAGCTCTTCCTGTACCCACCCACCTCCTGAAGAGGGCTGCCCTCCTTGTGCTCAGAGAGGGTCAGCACAGCAAAGGGTTGCTCTCGCTGTGACCCCAAATGTCTGGCTCATTCGGCTCAAAAGGGGCCCAGAGACCAGTTCCCCACCTGACCTGGGCCTTGGTCCAAGGTGAGGGTGTGGGGGCACAGCAGCAGAGCCTCACCTGGAACTGGCAGAGGGGGTAGCTGCCGTAGAGGTACTCATGCCTCCCATTCACTTGCAGCGTGTAGTCCTCGGGCTGCTCCAGCAGGGGCTGCCGGAATACCGTGGCCTTCTTCCGGAGGGCGCAGGCCATCAGTGCCAGGGGCATGTCCTTGGTGGACACCTGGAAGGTGAAGCTCTCCTGGCAGGGAGGAGGGAGGGTCAGGCCTCTGCCCCCGAGGTCCCTTGAGGTGCTGGGACACAGGGACAGGGGTGCCTGTTTGCCCGTATTAGGCAGCCCGACCCCCGAATGGGCGCCCACAGGGCAGGGCGGAGGGTGTTCACTGACTCAGGGCCATGCCTGACACCCAGAAGGATTTTTGCTCAATGAACGAATGGACCAGTGGCCAATGCCATTCGGCCATTCTGCCTCACTGAACAGCCAAGCCCTTCACGTGCCCGAATACCCAGCAATATCATCTGATGCTCCCAGGAGCCGGTGAATGTGAGGGGCCTGGACTGGGAGTTTCACCCGTGGCCGCAGCAGAAAGGCTAGCATTCCCAGGACCAGGACCCCAGGCTTACCTCACTGCCTTCAAACTTGACATTGACCAGGAGGGCGCGGTTGGGGCCCCGCAGGGTGCTGGCCCTCAGGCTGGGTGCTGAGGGCTCCAGCTGCAGGGGGAAGCTGTACTGCAGCCAGGCCTCCCAGCCCAGCTGCTGCCGGCGGGCCGCCGCCTCCTCGCAGAACTGGCGCATCTTGGCACGGAAGTCGTTCACCTCGGGGTCGCGCAAGGAGTCAAATTCGTGGAGGCCTGAGAGGCAGGAGGAGCTGAGTGGGCAAGGGGGCAGGCAGGGAGGCCGGGCGACGTGGGCGATGTGCAAGGTACCTTTGCCGATGAGGAGGCTGATCTGGGAGTTGATGAGCTTCTTCACACGGTCACCCTCGCGGGCCACCAGGCGCAGCACCGGCAGGAAGGGCTGCACATCGCACAGCCGCCGCTGCTCGTCCTCCAGCTCCTGCTGCTCCGCCGTCTGGTTGACGCAGGTGAACACGTAGGCCTCGGGGTCGCTGAGCATGTGGAACAGCGGCTCATACTGGGCGCGGTGCCACAGCACCTGGGGACAGTCACAGACAGCCTCTTGTTGAGACGCACGGCCACCCTGTGGTGGAAGGCTGAGGCCCGAGGAGGGCGGCCTCCACCTCGGGGTCCCACTGTGCGTGCCCTCTGTGGAGAGCAAAGGCAGACAGCAAGAGCCAAGCCCTCTTAAACCCCTTTGGGGGCCAGCAGGTGGTGTAGTTGGGGCTCTGGACCCCAACACCATCTGCTGCAGTTCGAGTCACCCCAGCCTCTTGAAACTCACGCCGGGCACATGTGCGTGCATGGTCAAAATCCCGAGAGGAGAACGGAGGAGAAGGGATTGTGGCGTGGCCATCCCCGCTGCAGGTGATTCCACCTCTCTCTGTCTCTCTGTCTCTCCAGCGAGCATAGCACAAGTGTCCTCTAACAAAAATCTCTCTTTAAAACAAAAACAAAAACAAAAAAAGAGCCCTGGGCCACTGACCACGTGGGCGACAGACTTCTCACTGCTGCCCTGCTGGGTTGTCAGGGATGGCCTGGGACCTGGGGCTAAGCAGCAAGTTGCAGGGCTGCTCCTGCCACAGCCTTCCAAGACATACCTGGACATGACCTTCAGGCACCTCCTAGCTAAATGTTCTGGGGTTCATCCCGATTTTGTTTTTCTTTTTAATTTGCTAAATCTCGAGATTTCATCAGAAAGAGAGAGAGAGAGAGAGAGAGAGAGAGAGAGGGAACGTGAGAAAGCATCCCCCCAGGGACATAGTTGTGCCACAATCTCTTCTTCTGTTTCTCCTTTCAGGGTTTGAGACACGCAGACACATGTTCCGGGCCGGCCCTTGAACTGTACAGTCGGCCATGTGGGATCTAGTGCCTTACCCACCATGCACTAGTTGGCCTGCCCCCCGATATTTATTCAGTGGCCATGAATTCCGTGTTGAACACAGTAAACGGCAAATAAAACTGCCTGCAGACATCCGGCTGAGGCTCAGCGCATGCCCTGGGTGTGAGCTGCCTCCATCGCTGCCCTTGGGGGAAGCAACGAGTCAGGCTTTAGGACGAAGGCGTCTACCACTGAGTCACAGAGAAGACGGGAAAGGAGGAAGGAGCCCAGTGCTGGCACCATGCGGATCGGCTGGGGGTGGTCGGTCAAGACAACGGGATGGCCCAGCCATGACAGAATCTAGGGAGACGTGTCTGTACAGGAGTGTGTGTGTGGAGGGGTCTACAGAGCATCGTTAAGTGGGGGACAACTCAAGTTGCAGAATGGCAGCTATAATTTGAGCCCATTTCCACCTTAAAAACAAAAACAAAAAAACATGTATTAATTCATATAACCCAGAACTTGGCAAGCTACAGCTGGGCCAGTGCTGGCCCTCTGCCTGGCTTGTGCCCACGGCCGTGCCCATTCATTTAGCGGTCACCCATGCTGCCTCTGCCCTACCATGGTGGCCGAATCCTCGGGGCAGGTGACAGAGCCAGCCAGCAACGCCTACATTTAAAACATGAAGAAACTGAAACCAAATTGAGGTGCATGGTGAGGCTGCAGGGACTACTGCATTTTGGTTTCTTCAGTTTTGGAAAAAAATTTTCCCCCAGAGAACACATGTGTTCACCAGAGACAGAGAGAGGAAAAGTGAGAAATCATCCCCCAGGAAGGATGGCCATGCCACAATCCCTTCTCCTCAGATCTCCTCATGAGATGTTAGGCATGCACACATGACCAGCATGATTTCCAAGCCACCGAGACTCAAACCATGGTTGGCCATGTGGGAGTCTACCACTTTAGTCACCGTGCCACCTGCTGGCCTCTGCAGTGTTGGAGCGTTAGCAACATGTACAGTAGTTCTGTAAACAGAAAATTACTATTGATTTAAAATGATGTTTATATAAAGTTAAAAACAAGAACAGAAAGTTAACCCAGGACAAAAAGATATTAAAGTTCATAACATGAATCATCACAAAAAACAACGCTGCATGCCTAGAAGAGAGAACAGGACATAGCCAGCGCATTAAGGCAGTTGTCTCATATGATTGAGTCAGATCAGCTCTTCCTCCTGTTTTCATATTTTCCTCAATTTTAATGTGCTCATATTACTTTTATAATGGAAAAAGCAAGCAAGTAAGCAAGAAACCAACCTTAATTTTTAAAGAAATCTCCCAGGGAAAGAAGGAAGAAAAGACAAGACAAACTCGAGAATGACCCGTTGCTTCTCTATTATCCCTGCTTCCAGTTAGAGCTGTTAAAAATCTGGGTTGTGGGACCAGCAGTTAGCGCAATGGCTATGTCGCTGGACTCCCACATAGTCAACCGCGGTTCGAATCCTGGACACGGTGGCTTAAACTCACGCCGGGCACATGTGCGTGCGTGCCCAAGATCCCGAGAGGAGAATGGAGGAGAAGGAATTGCGGCATGATCATCCCCCCCCCCGGGAGGGTGATTTCTTGCTTTCTGTCTCTCTGTCTCTCTCTGTCTGGTGAGCACACGCTCCCTATAGCAAAAACCTCTCCAAAAAAAGGAAAAAAAAAATCTGGGTTGTAGCGCTGGCAGGTGGCATGATGGTTAAGGTTATGGACTCCTACATGGCCAACTGTGTTTGCGGCCCAGACTGGGCAGCTTGCTTTCTCTCTCTCCCTCTCTCTGTTTTTTTTTCTGGTCAAATTGAATAATAATAAAAAATTAAATTAAATTAATGATTCTTTTTTTTTTTTGGAGAGGTTTTTGCTATAGGGCGTGTGTGCTTGCCAGACAGAGAGAGAGTCCAGCAACATAGCCATTACGCCAACTGCTGGTCCCAAATTAATGATTCTTTAAAAAAAAAGCATGGGGGGAACCAGCAGTTAGCGTAATGGCTATGTTGCTGGACTCCCACGTAGTCGACCGCGGTTCGCATCCCGGACCCGGTGGCTTAAAACTCACGCTGGCCACGTGTGCGTGCGTGCCCAAGATCCCAAGAGGAGAATGGAGGAGAAGGGATTGCGGCGTGACCATCCCCCCTGGGGGGTGATTTCTCACGTTCTGTCTCTATGTCTATCTCTGTCTGGCAAGTGCACACGCCCTATAGTGAAAATCTCTCAAAAAAAAAAAGCATGGGTTGCTCCCTGGCCTACTGGTTAAGGGAGCCAGATTCCATATGGCAGACCATGTGACTTGAATTCCGGCCTCAGAGCTTGAAATACACACAAGGTGCATGTGCATGTGTGTGCACGCCCCAAATCCCACAGGATGAAGGTCTGAAAGGGCAGGGATTGCAGCATGCTTTTCAGTACTGCAGCTCAGTAATCCGTCTTGAAAAATCTTGCAACAAAACCAAAAACTCTCTGCAAAGATAATGTTTACTACTGTAACAGTTCTAAAGACAAAAGACCTGTGACGCTCTTGTGTGGCCTTGGGCAGAGCATGGGTCTGAAAATGATGGCAAAATCCTGGATGGAATGAAAGCCCGCCTGAAGCCACTGCTGTAGTCTAGCCTAGTAAGCAGTAATCTAGTAAAAGGGGACATGCATAGCTAAGGGCGGGGCTCAGTGGACGTAACCACAAGTTTTTAATCAACTCCTGATCGTTATTTTTATCCTTTAAAATTTGCGTCTGAGTATTCCAAGTCTGAGAAACAATGAGTCTGTCTCTTACTCTCTGAGCACCAATGTCTGCAGACCAGACTTGAAATGGAGGTTGTACCTGCTTGATGGTGCTGAGGTTGGCATTGCGGGACACGGGGAAGTTCAGGTAGATCCCTGTGGGCAGCAGGAAGTCAACCGCCACGTTCTGATTCTCCTCCTTGGTCCAGAATTCCATGGGGCAGTCAACCCCAGGGGGCATCCTGCTTGGTTACTGCTCGGACACCGGCTGTCCTGGGAAAGAAGCAGAGGCAAAGTGAGCTAGGTCAGGCACGCTGGGTGAGCCCTCGGGAGGGACCCCTTAAAAAACAGTCTGTTGAGATCTTAGGCAGCAGGAGGCTCAGGACTGCGTCTGGGCACGTGGGCACACGAAGTGCACCTCCCTCAGGGCCTCCCCTGCCCAGGGTGGCTTATGGCTCCTCCCACCCCAGCCCTGTGGTGCGTGTGCCTCTCCTTGCAAGGGGACATGGCCTCCCTCATGGCCATGCCCAGTGAGCACAGGCACACAACACACCCTGGGGGGGTCCATGGAACAGATCCAGACCAAATATTTCCTTGGGAACATACACATCTTGGGGGCATCCTCGAGGACAGCTTGGCACAGAAGGGAGGTGGGCAGAACCACTGGTCAGACACCCCAGAGCTTGAGCAAGACCGAAGGCTACAGTTCTTTGAAACATTTTAATCAGAAACCAAATGGTTTTAAAATAGCTTTGGCCATCAATTTGTTGAAATACCTCACTCAACACCCCCCACGAAAGTAACAAACAGCTCAGATACAGTCCTCCTTGCCCCCCAACTTCTCCCACTTCAGGTCACTACCTCCTGGAATCTGATTGTTTATCATTACCATACATGTTTTTATACTCCTATTATACTAATATGTATCCACAAGCAATTCCTAATAGTTTAGCATTCTTATTTATTTATTTTTTTTGAGAGGTTCTCGCTTTAGGGCACGTGTGCTCACCAGACAGACAGAGAGAGACAAAGAGACAGAAAGCGAGAAATCACCCCCCCAGGGGGGATGGTCACGCCACAATCCCTTCTCCTCCATTCTCCTCTCGGGATCTTGGGCACGCATACACATGCGCCCAGCGTGAGTTCTAAGCCACCGGGTCCAGGAAGCGAACCGTGGTCGACTACGTGGGAATCTAGCAACATAGCCATTATGCTAACTGCTGGTTCCCGAGTTTAGCATTCTTTAAAACTACATGAATAGGGGCCACCAGGTGGTATGGTGGTTGAGGCACTGGACTCGACATGGCCAACTGTGGTTTGAGTCCCGGACCTGGAGGCTTGCTTCCTCACTTTCTCTCTCTCTCTCTCTTTCTCTGGTGATAGAAAATTAAACAACAATAATAAAATTAAATCAATAATTATTTTTAAAAAGGAAACAAAGAAAAAAAAAACTGCATGAATAGCTGAACCAGGCAGTGGCAACCTGTACACAGGAGGGTCCTGGGTTCAGGTCCTAGAATCTCCTTGAGCAAGTTGAGTGCACAAGTGTATGTGTCCATGACCCAGGCTGGCTGAGACTGGGGGTGTGCTACAGCATGTGGACCCCATTGGGGTGCCTGTCTCTCTCTATAGTGGAAGAGAGAAGTAAACTTTAAAAAAATAACTATGTAAATAGTGAGTCTTCTGCAGCTTGCTTTGGCCAGTCGGCATGATGTTCCGCACTTTTTCATGAGGATACATGTAGCAGTAGTTGATTCATTTTAACTCTTGCCTGGTACTCTGCTGTGAAAAGAAACCACAGTTTATTTACCCTGACTCTTGATGAAGACCCCAAATGTTTCTACTTCCCTGGTCGCTACACACCAGTGCTAAGATGTATATTTCCACACACATCCCCCTGTGTGGCTGTGGGCATGTAGGAGAGTGTTGTCCAAGAGAAAAACATACAATGTGAACCACACAGGAGATGTCACAGTTATTAGGAGCCACATGAAAAAGCAAAAAGCCGGGGGGACCAGCAGTTAGCATAATGGCTATGTCGCTGGACTCCCATGTAGTCAACTGCGGTTCGAGTCCTGGATCTGGTGGCTTAAACTCACGTTGGGCGCGTGTGCATGCGTGCCCAAGATCCCGAGAGGAGAATGGAGAGGAAGGGATTGCAGCATGGCTATTCCCCCTGGGGGGTGATTTCTCGCTTTCTTTCTCTCTGTCTCTCTCTGGTGAGCGCAGGCACCCTATAGCAAAAAGGCATCTCAAAAAAAAAAAGCAAAAAGCCTGGGTATAGACTGGCCCTGTAGTGCAGTGCTTAGGGGCAATGTTTGAGGAGTTGGATTCCTCTTGACCTACTACAGTTCAAATCCCAGCCCTGGAGGTTTGAAAACCACACCAAATGTATGCACATGCATATTCCAAATCCTCACAGGAAGGAGAGATGGAGGAAAGAGGACTGCGGCATGACCACACTTCACTGGAGGGTGCTTTCTCTCACAGACGCAGGTAAAATGAAGTTTCATAATATGTCTTATTAACCCAGAATATCCAAAAGATGGTCATTTTGGCAGGTTTAATCAACATACTGTGTTGTTGGAAAAGTTATGACACATTTTGGCATAGAAAAAACATAGAAAAATATGAAATGACCTTTCAGGTGACCCAATAGAAAAATGACTAACGAGTTAGTGTAAATTCTTTTTTTGGTTTTGAATCTTTGAAATCTGATGTTCATTGTACACTTAGAGTCCACTGCAATTTTATTTCTAAATTTCATCAGAAATACTTGATCTTACTCCACTTGTGGCCTAGTTGCTAAGGGAGCCAGGTCCCACATGGCTGACCGAACAGTTTGAATCCCGGCCCAGAGGCTTGAGATATATACAGCCATGCATGCCTGCTTGGCCCAAATCCCAACAGCACGGAAAAATGCAGAAGAGATTTCAGCATAACCGTGCTCCACTGGGGGATGCCTTCTCCTTTCTCTCCCTCTCTCTGGCAAAAACAAAACAAAACAAAACAGAAAACTTAATCTCTGAGACCAGGAGGTGGTGTGGTGGTTATGGACCCCACATGGCCAACAGCAGTTCCAGTCCTGAACCCAGTGGCTTGAAAATCATGCCGGGCACAGAGTGAATGGGTGCCCAACATCCCAAGAGGAGAACGGCAGAGAGGGAACTGCGGCACGGCCATCCTCCCTGGGGGGTGATTTCTCACTTTGCCTCTTTCTGCCTCCCTCTGGTGAGTACATGCACCCTATAGCAACACCTCCCCCCTACCCAGCAAAACAAACAAACAAACACAAAATAATAATAAAAAAACTTAATCTCTCTATGTAGATTTCACAACCGACAGGGACACAGACTCATGTTGTTGTAAATACAGTTAAACCTTTTTCAATAAATAAACCACATATCAGTTAACTTTTTTCCCCCTTTATGAGGGAACAGGAGAGAGAAGAAAAGGACAGTGTTGCCATTTTGTGATCCTCTTGTCCCGGTCTCCCAATTAGCTACGACTACAGGTGTGTGCACGGCATGTTAAGGTCAGCCTGAGAATTGAACCTGGACCTCCCATGTGGTCTCCAGATTCCCAAGTAGGGGCACTACTCAAAATCGAGTCCCACTGCATCTGGGACTCGATTTTCAAGTTTAAATTATCGTCCTGCACAGCATAACAACATTTTCGTCAACGATGGACCACATCTATGGAGATGGTCCCTTAAGCTATATCATCTATGGAGATGGTCCCTTAAGCTATATCGTCTGGGGCCAGCAGGTGGCAGGATGGTTGGGGCACTGGACTCCCACATGGTCGACCACAGTTGGAGTCCTGGACTTGCTTTCTCACTTTCTCTCTCTCTCTCTGGTAGATTAAATAATAATAATAAATATAATTAAACAGTTAAAAAGAAGAAGAAGTTTATACCATCTAGCCTCGTCAGAGCAGGCTATACCATGGGGCTTGGTGTAAGTATTCTGTGATGCCCACACAATGATGAAACAGCCTAATGACACATGTTTCAGACTATAACCCTATTGTTAAGTGATGCATCATTATCATTTAATTTAAATAAGTTGTCCTAAACTTCCATTGCTCAATCAGTGCCCATACGTCAGTGTTTAGGAGCCACACGTGGTGTAACCTGAGAGAGGAAGCCACGTCAGTACCTTCACCCAGTGCGAAGCTGTCTCATGGCGCCCGTGAGTAATTACAGCTGCGACGTGTGCGGTGCTTAATCACCATGGCCTCATCGACGAGTAAAACACCAAACGACTCATTTTTGTCAGTCTGGTAGGTATAACATGGTTTCTTACTTCAAGTTGTGTTTCCTTAAATATCCATAAAATGTCTATATATTTTTTAAGTTTGCTATAGGGCACATGTGCTTACCAGAGACAGAGAAAGAGAGAGAGAGACAGAAAGTGAGAAATCACCCCCGGGAGGGGGGGGGACGACCATGCTGCAATCCCTTCTCTTAGGACTTTGGACACACATACACACACACCTGGCATGATTTTCAAAGCCTCCAAGTCTGGGACTTGAGTCATGCAGTTGCCATGTGGGGTCCAGCCATCTTAACCTCTGCCCCATCTGCTGACATAAATGTTTATCTTCTGCAAACACTCTGTTTATAACCTTTTCCTGTGAGATTAGTTCTTGTTTTCTTATTAGTTTGTAGGCCTGTAAATGTATTCAACATTTGGTTTCTTTATTGATTAAGTGAGTTGGAAATATCATCTAGCCTGAGACATGCTTTTTTTTTGATAGGTTTTTGCTATAAGGCGCATGCGCTCACCAGAAAGACAGAGACAGAGAGATAGAAAGCAAGAAATCACCCCCCGAGGGGATGGCCATGCCACAATCCATTCTCCTCATTCTCCTCTTGGGATGTTGGGTATGTACGCACACACCTGGTATGAGTTTAAGCCACCGAGTCCAGGACTTGAACCACAATCGATTACATGGGAGTTCAGCGACATAGCCATTACGCCAACTGCTGGTCCTGCATGAGATATCTTTTCACTTTGTTTAAGGGGTGTGTGTGTGTGTGTGTTTTAAAGGGAGAGGTTTTTGCTATAAGGAGAGTGTGCCAAAGAGACATAAAGTGAGAAATCAACATGGAGTGGAGGGCGCCCATGCCACGATCCCTTCTCCTCCACTCTCCCCTCGGGATTTTGGGCACACACATAAACGGGCCCAGAGTGAGTTTTAAACCACTGGGTCCAAAACTTGAACTGCAGTGGGCGATGTGGAAGTCTGGTGACACAACCACTATGGTG